GAGTGGCCGCGGCCTCCTGAGAAGCCCGTTCACAAATCGCCCCCGAAGGCAATCGAAGGCAGTGGCCTCCTCTGCTGAAATGCTTCATTTAAGCCACTTCCAGCAAAAAGATAGGTTTTAGCTTTTCTTTTCCACTATAAACGGCTACGGGACCAGAGTATTCCCCAATGTTGGGCAGAATGGGTATTTGGGATATTTTTAAAGAACTGCAAGGTGTAAATGAACATCTGCAAATTCTGTGAAGTCTCTGATTGCTACAGGCTTCTGCAGCCACAGATCTGCATCTGCAGTGATGGTGGCTGCTTGGAGCATCTCTGTTCCTATTTGAGCACCTTTCAACAGGCTGTTTGCCAGCAGCTTTTTGGGAAGCCACGGGAGGAGCGGTGCTGAGGCTGCACTCGCTGCTGAAGAACAGGGCCAGTCGAAACGCATTTTTTAAGGAGAACACTTCGTTTTTGTCATAAATGTTTTTTTTTTAAAAAAAAAGCTTCCAAACCTCGTTGAGATACCGCTGTTAATATATCATCCAAATTGCAAGTGATTAAAAGCAACAGCAGCTACTACTAAAATGTGGCTTTGTAGCACTGGGCCACATGGGAAGCAGCAGGGAAAATCATTAGTAAGAGGCCAGCGGGGTGCACTTCTGAATAAAAGCAGATCTGCGAGCGCAGCACCAAGCAGGGCAGGCTGCRGCGCAGCCGGGGCTCCGGCCGCTCGCTGCCAGGCGCTGCGGGCCCGGGATGCTCCTGGGTGCGGGGCTGCAACCTCAGCACAGGTCAACAGAGGGAGTTCCCTTCCATTGGAGCGGCCTGCGCTTCCCAGCGCGGCTCCGGGATCTCGTCCGTCAGTCCGTCCGCAGGGAAGACGTGGCTGCTGCCAACGGACACCGCAGAGCCCAGCAGGGCATGGACACCTGCACGTCCCTCGCTCCGGCGGCCCCACGCCGGGCGCAGCTGGGACCTCCGCTCTCGGCCGCTGGTACCAGCCCGGGGCAGGGGGTCCTGGTGGAGCTGGGGTGCTACGAGCCAGGAGCCCAGCAGAGAACGGCCCTGAAAACAGCCTCCTGCAAACGCTTCCGTTCCTCCCTCCCACTGCTCCTTTTTTAAAGGAAAGATGGTTAATTGGAGTTGTTCATGACGTACTGCCAGCTCCTGCTGCCCCTCCTTGCTCCAAGGGAAGGACAAGGGCATTTCAGAAGCAGGTGGCTGCCCAGAGCAGCAGTCCAGGAGCTCCAGACAAGGCTGAGGAGATCTCAACGATAACGTTCTCTCTGCCACAGCCCGGACAGTTTGGAGAAAAGACCTGTCTTCAATCCCTCAGTATTTTGCAGGACAGTTCCTGTAAGAATGTCCTTGTTTCTGCTAAAGACAGTCCAGCTGCAGCTGTAGTCTACACTGCCGACACTGCTGCAAGCAGTGGGCTTTGTAGCATATGTTTTCCCCCCAAAAAAACCATATATCAGATATGTTTATAWGCTACAATTAGAATATAAGCTGTTAAAAAACGCGAGGGGAGGCCAGAGCAGGTCCTGCCATGTGTCTTGGACAGCATTACCTGCAAAGAACAACAAAACTGGGGGGAAAGACGTTAACTGCCAAACTCTCCAGTGGAAGCATCTGCCCCAGAACTGAAGCAGGGCTCCTAGAAATGGTGATGGGACCTATATTTAGGACAGCTCTTCCAATGTCAGTGGAGGAGCCAAGTGTCTTCCACAGCCCCTTCCAGTCCTGGCGCTTCCCTAAGCCACAAGGTCCATGGCAGCAGCTCTGCCAGCAGCTCCCAGCACCCGACCCACCACGCTTGGGGCAGACACTCTCTTGGGGATGCCAGCAGCAGCACTCAAATGGGCATTTGCAAGCAGGAACCTTTCAGAGACGCAGAACGTGGCGAAACACGACCCATCTTCTCAGAATGATTAAATGCACCAGTCTGAACCCACGACAGCCCTTCGGCAGATGTTCAGTTCTTGTTCCAGACCCTGGAGGTGCCAGGGCTGGTTAAGAGCGGTAGGAAAAACATCTCCACATTGTGGGAAAACAGCTCGTTTTGCCAGCCRTCCTCTGTGAAACCGGTGAACTGTGCGTTTTGAAACACTGGAAACTAAACTCCAGCCTGAGGCACTGGCCAGTCTGGAAAATCTTCAGCACAAACAGTTAAAGTCTGGAAGTAGAAAACTAGAGGTGACGGAAAGTGCATACAGGCCCAGCTGAGGCGAGCTGCTCCTGCCAGCTCTAGTAAACACATGTATTTCTGATGGCAAACGCAACCCTGCACATGTGCTGCACTCCAAATACCTCCTTTTCCTTGGATGAGGGACCAGTGTCCTGCTCGGGGCCTGACAACAACCTTTCACAAGCACAGGGATCCTTGCGACACGGCAGCTCGGACAAACGCATGCTCTAGCAGAGCACAACAACCACCTCACGTCTGAGAGGCTTCCACGAGCAGCTCAGCTGGCAGAAGAGCAAGAGCTGCTTGGAAGGCAGCGCCAAAGCTCRCTGAGCGTTGTGTCAAACTCCTGCAGCCTGCAGGTCTTGCCATCCCAGAGAGGGTCAAAAATCCATGGGAACCACACAGCAATTCACAGTCTGAGAGAGCCTCCCACAGAGAAGGGCACTCACTGACAAAATTTTTGACCTTACTACTCAGTTGTCATCTTTGACTCCAAATTAACAACGTGCAGGTCAAGCGATGATGAAGACTGGAACCAGATTCTACAAAATGGACTTATCTCAGCAGGCCTCGGTGCTTGGTTGCACCTAGCAAGGGACCACCCGTGACCTGAAGAAGTGACATCCTGAATGGACAACGACTGGCAGAAGAACAGCAGCACCACGAGGCAATGCACTGGGCCAAGGCCTTGCCGTCAGCATGGGGTGCAGGAGCTACACACAGCGAGGCCACGTCAGGCCCAACTCTCAGCACAGTTAAGAAATCTGTGAGCAGAGATACCATCAAGGACCACCTCCAAAGAGAGCTTCTAGCATGGCCGCCACCAGCAGAGCCGCTACGCAGGAAGCCAGACAACTTTGCTTTGCTTTAAAAACAGAGCGTTGTGTGGATGGCCAAGAACGTTGGGGCCTGGCTGAGCGCTGAGGGAGTCAGGACAGGGTGAATGTGCTGCCCTGCTGAGGCAGATTATGTTGGAATTGGTACAGGAGGTGGGAAACGAACGTGGGAAAGGGAACAGAGCTGAGCTTCCCAAATCGCCTGTGGAGGCTGGGGACAGCCAATGTTAACACTGCTGAACAGAGATGAAGCGATTTGCTCCGGACCAGAGCAAACCACAGCACCAGGGTGGACGTCTGTCCCCTGGCTGCCATGACGCCGCTCGTGCTCCTTGGAAAGGCCGTGAAGAGAAGGGTGATGGGGGCTGGCAGAAACACACTCTTCTCTCTGATAGCAACTCCAGCAAGTTGGATGCTTCTGTATCAGYGCTTTGATATCGACTGGAGCAGCAGGGAAAGGTCACAAGCTGAGGTCCCCTCAGCACTCGAGCCACGGCGTTGTTTGCAGGTCCAACGAGACAAAACATCATCGTCCCTGTTTTACAGAGAGATCGTGTTTCTCATTCAGAGATCTGGAAAGAATTAGGAACTCCTGAGCCTTACGGCTACTGTTTCAGCCACAAAAACACCCTTCTCTGGTCACACGCGGGGTTTAGGGGCTAAACGGGGCCCAAACCTGGAGCCACCAGCGTGGGTTCCTCCGTAGCACCCCCCTGGCCACGCGCTGCGACACCATCTCAGGGCGGCGCGAACGCCTCACGAAATGGCTTCCCTGGCCCGCCACGTAACCAGCAGGCGGGCGCCCGAGTGCGGCGCCGGGTGGGCCGAGCCCGCCGAACCCACCCAGCTACCACAATACTGAGGTGGTCATTGATCTAGAGTCACGTCCTGGGAGTGGGACCAGAAAGGAAAATATCGCCATCCCATGGAGGAACCATCCTGTCGGGCTGAAGGAGCCATCTGGACTGAAGGAGCAGCAGTTCCTACAGCAGTTAAATTACAATAGCTCACTTTATCCATACCTRATATATGGCCATTCTGGGGCATGGTCGTAGCTAGCTGGAAAAAGCTTTTTCTAAAAACAAGCCATTTCTTCTCTTCAAAATGCAGATCTGTTCCTTCTAAAAYGTGCTCACACTACAGGCCAGACACGCTGGCTGGGGATGGTGGTGCAGTTCTGTGACCRGCATTGTGCAGACACTCAGTGGTGATCATAAAGCCCACGTCTGGCCTTAAAACCTGAGAATATGGCACATTTTGGCCCAAAAAATGAAGACGGCTGCTGYTCCCAAGTGTGAAGCACAGGCACATCCTTGGGAGCTTTAATGAGCACCGTGTTTGCCAGGACGGTGCCCCGTGTTCGCAGGCCACCCTGACGCCTGGTCCTCTCCTGGCTTTGGAGGAAACCAGCGGCTCCTGCTTTGGCCTCACGCTCTGCTGTCTGCCCGCGGGCACGTCTGCTCCTTACAGGCTCCTCTCGCAGCTCCAGGTTTGCTTTGCACAGCCTCTGTCCGCTTGCTCAGACCTTATCTTCAGTGTGCTCTCTGCACAGCAAACAAGAACTCCGCAAGCCGTCCTTGCTCTTGCAGAGATCAAGAAGGACACAGTTGTTGCTCCTGAAACACAAGGCTATCATCCAATGCCTCCACAATTATCTCAACTGTCTCAAACAAACAGCGCTTGAGCAATCCTTTTTTTTTTTTTCTGTACAATAAGCACTTTATTGCAGAAAAGCCTCAATGCATTTTCAAAACAGATTAAGGAGATGCACAGTCGTATGGTTTCCAGATATTTCTATGAAGTGCTCCCCACAGTAACTTGAGTACAATGGAGCCCGTCAGATAAACAGTACCAGGGAACTCAATACTGTCATCTGCAATCACTTGAGGGAGGCAGGAAATCTTGCCAGTGGTTATTTAAGAGCCATGTAAAACAGGTGGCTCTGTTCCTATGAAGCACCTCGGCCAACAGAGCAGAGGTTAACGGTGTCACTCCTGATTTACACCAGTGTAACCGAGACCAGAAGTCGGGCTTGGATCATGAAAGCACCCGGTGAAGATTTTACGTCAGCGTGATAAGCACATGGTGGCAGATTTGTGAAGTTTCTTGAAGGGCTTTATTTGGGGTCAGATTAGAGAAACTGTCTCCCATTTCAGGTATTACTATCAACAGACGTCCTTGGATGTGATGCACTATGGTGCTGCCCAGGCCCTTTCCACATGGGAAAGAAATCTTGGCATGAAAACGCGACAAGTCGTAACAGGCATTAACTACCACAACAAACTATAACATAACCCCTGTCTACAGTAGATGCTGTTGCGTTTGGAAGTATCCCAGCTGGTCACAGTCAAACCCACGTATGCTCAGGGCTAGCCACAGCCCCACCACAGCATCTTAAGTGTATCAGACCGTGGCTAGAAATGTTTTAAATCCTATCAGATAACAGAAGTGATGCAGTTTCCTAATAGGACCGTCCGCAACAAATTCTTTTGAAAGATTCTGGCTGCATCAGAAGTTTGAACATTATAATATTAGATAAAAATGTGCCCCCCAAATTCCATTTTTTTCCCCATAAAGAATATTTCTGAACCCCCATGGTGTGATACTAAATACAGTCCAGATCCCTGATACAAGCCCAGATCTCATCCCATCAAGGGATTAATTCCTCAGTAGATGGGCATTTAGAGTGAATGGGCTGGCACAGGACACATTAGCACACAAATGCCTTAAGACTACTGGACTCCAGGATCCAATTCCTGCCTGGTACACCTTTTCAGATCTCACTGAATAAATAATAAGTTTCACTAGTTTTCACCAGCTGAAGATCTGGCACACAGGATTCAAACCCTGCTAATGTAAAACCAGAAATTCACTGTGATGGATGTACAGCAGAATGGCTAGGAGGGTCTGCCAAAGCCCATGTGATGGAGTATCTGTTTATCTGCAGGCCGTTTAAATGCTGATGTGTCGTGTGCTGTAAGACAGTTTTATTTCTTTAGCGTTGTGAAGGCTACAAGAAACCCCTGAACCTACTGACATGAATGGGAGCCTTGGGAAACGTCTCAGAAACCGGAGGCCTCTGTGTAAGAGCAGAGCAGGGATGGCAGGGACTGAGACAAGAAAACAGCCACTGCCCCCGGGCCCTGAAGCCTCCCGTGGAAGGGACGCTCCCTTGCTGGGGGATCAACCATTCATTTGTCGCTTCCTGACTTGTTTGCCAAGGCTGCCAGCGATGGCGTTTGGTAATGTGCGTATGTGACGTGGTAACCAAAAATCCTACCCACGAGACGTGAGACCGAGAGCCATAAAGACTTTGGAAAGGCCATCAGAAAGGGCTGTGCTTCTGACAGAGGCTAGAATTTAATCTGTARTGAGTGGAAGGCGCCTATGGCCCTTGGGCACTTCAAGCTGTCACGTCCTTTCCCTTTCAGAAGAACATAGAAAATTATCACATGAAGTGGTCACCAGGCACGAACAATTCTTTCTCAAACAGATCGCCACAGGCTTCCCCCCCCCTTAATCACTAAAATACACGACTACCTGATGTGTCACGTCGCTGACAAGTAGTTGACATTTAAGGCAGTCTAATTTCCACAGCCCTGCCATGATTTCCAGCGAGGAGATCGCATTTCTCTTCCTTCTCCAGGAGGGGTTTCTTGCACGTGAACATGACAAGCAGCAGCAAGGGCAAATGCCACAGGCTGCAGAAGAAAAGCCTCCTGGAGCTGCTGCGGTCCGCGTCCCGGTAGAAGCGGAAGCCGAGGTAGGAGATGTAGAGGTTGATGGGGAGTGAGATGATGGGGAAAGTCCACGTGGTGACGTCGAGCGCAGGAGCGGCCGCGCAGAGTCCGAGCAAGGCGAGGCAGTGGCGCAGGGCCACGCGCCGGCACAGTGCCGGGTGCGTCACGGACATCATGCAGTAGCCTCCGCGCGAGTAGTCCTCCCGCAGCCCCCAGCTCAGCGCGTTGAAGTGAGGGAACTGCCACGAGTAGAGGATTCCTCCCAGCAGGATCGCACCTGCAGTGGAAAAGAGAGAAGGAGAGCGGCGTGAGGGCGCCCGGCAAGGCAATGCGACGCACAGGCCAGAGCGACGCACCTGCGCACGGCTCAGGAGGCTCTAACTCACACAGCGGGGTGCACGGCTCTTCTTCTCTTTTGGAGAACTTGGTTAATTTGAGAAGCATCTCATCGTGTTCCTTCTCCCGAACGCACAGCCTCAGGGGCTCAGCCAACGCTACCGATCTCTGCACTAACGCGGTCTCCACCGGAGAGAAGGCCAAGGGAGTCAAGGCAGAAATTGGGCAAGACAGAGTCTCTAGATTCCATTCTCAGGTGCCCAAGCTGGTGCATCCCGAGAAGGAAAACGTCAATGGATGGCGGGAGTGTCACACAGATGTCATCAACCTGAAACACAGGGCTCTGCTCAGTGAAACACGAGAAGCAGAGCAGAGGACGTTGGCATCCTCCAGGGTCCTGGGAAATGCGGTGCTCCGAGCGCCCGCAGCGTGGCTGCCGTCACCGCTGGCTCGTGGTGAGGAGACCGGGCAGCGCCCGCGGCGCCGGGGCCTCAGAGCCCCGGCTTCCAGGAGCAGCACAACCACCACAAGTGACAAACGAGGTGCCAGAAGATCCAGAGCGCCTCATTTCTTCAAAGCAATTCCAGCCACTTCCAAATAGCTCGATCAAATAACTCCATTCGCACCAGCAAATTTTAAATTTTAAAAGGAGCTCTCAGAGTGCCACATTTTTCACAGTTTTCCAGCTAGCCTCAGGAGGAGGCCCAAGGTTCATCAAGGCAGGGGGAGTTACGCTGACTTCAGCAAGCTTCAGGAAGGCCCCCAGACTAAACTGCGCTCACTAATTTTGTCTGAAGACACAAAAATCCCCCAAGGCTGTTCCACATTATGAGCATTCCTGGATTTTCCTTTTGTTTCTCTAGCTCCCAAACACTCYGCTCCAGCCTTAACACTTTCTTTGCGGCTTCCTTCCTCCAGGAGTTCGTTCTTTCTGGGAACTCAACTTATGCAGTTGAGAGCCTACATTTGGTTAATCATCTCATGGGAACAGCAATGGCAACACGTATCTCCATGTGGGTTAATGTCTTTCAGTTCTTCCTGAGACTCTTACCTCTTGCCCGGTGACTATTAGGACTATAATTGCAGTAAAACAAAGTCACTCCCTCCTTTCAGCTTCCCTGTGCTTCATGTCCTCTACGTCCGTTTCAGCTCTATGTTCCTTGGGGCTGGGCACGTCTCATTCTCGTCTTAAACAGCGCACCGTGCAACGTTACAGCAACGCAAACAACAGTCAGGTACACTTGCAAAAGACATTTTTGGCCCTCCCTTATCAGCCAGGGAAGGAATGGCCCATCTGACTTGAACAAACATGAAGCTCCCAGTTGCCTATAAGAGAAATTACGAGGATAAACCCCGTCTCATCACCTTCTAAAGGTGATGAGTGTRCACTGAGTACAGTACTCTGGAAGCTGATTACGGAGACAAGGAGATGCTGTTGCAGAGGGGCTGCAGCTTTCAGAACAAYGCTGCCTGCTACGGAATTAGCAGTGATTTCTGTAGGGCCCAAGATGTTTGCAAATGTCGCAGTTTGTCCCATCTTAGAGTCTGACTTTCAAGGGATGGATGCTCAGCGCCCTCTCAAAATCCAAACCTTTAAGGACGGTTCAAAATGGACCATTCCCAAATCCCCAGTCATTTCACAAAATCATGGCCAAGGCCAGCAAAATTTGACCCTAACAAAACAGGACTTGATTCAGCTCTGCTGAAACTCAGGGGAGAAATAACTGAAATAAAACTTCATCGAGGACCAGCGCGTCTCCACCAGGACAAACGCTGGCAAGCCACCCTCGCACTCCGTCACCCTCCTGCGCCTCCTTCTACTCGTAGAAGGTATCCCCAGAGGCCAGACACTGACCTCGATAACCCTAGGATGGGAACATGCCGCAGGTGAGACGCTYGGCAGGCACTCCTGGGCAGCTCTGCCCCGCGGAGGGCAGGCGAGCTGCAGCTCTGCACCAGGAGGGGCAGAGCCAGGGCTGGAGCCGGCGGCAAGGCGCAACGCGGGCTGCCCTCGCTCAGCTCGGCACACAGCCCAACCCTCAGCCACGCCAAGCCCTTCAACAGCTAAGTACACCACCACTAAAAAYTGTAATAATCATAAGAAGAGGAGTCACCTGGTGAAACTTTTAAATGTAACCAGACCAGCTGAACCACTCGAACCTGGCTTCCCTTTCGCAAAGTGCTCGTTTTCACACGCCAGCCTCTGCAGCTAATAGCTCCACTTACGTTGCAACCATTGAGATAACTGGTATTTTACAGAGAAGCCCAACAGTAAAACAATTTAACAGACCATTAAGAGGACTGGAGCTGACCCAATGTTTTTGGCACTCTCCCACGTGCCCGGGACACCCTGCAATTTCCTTTGCACTGGTCGAGACGGTCGTCTTGCCGTAGACTTTAAAGTGTTACGACCGCTGACTTGCAGAGTACAGCACGTGCTGTAGTGCAGTTCAGTATCAAAGGAGCCCAAACTAGGACCCCTGTCAAGCCCAGAGCAGATGCTGCAATAGYGTTTAATTACCCAATGGACGTTAACTACATCATGGTTGGGTCAGCAGCGTTTTCAAGCCATGTTATACAGAGAGCCGCCCTGGAGAATTACATGGTTCAAAAGACTGCAGAGCCTGTTCCGCTTCTCCCGTGGGGCTCCCACCCGGTTGGGATCTAAGGTGGAGCAAAGAACATCTCTTTTTCCTCCACAGGGTCCGGCTCAGAGCAGTAACTCAGGAGCTGGCACATCCTCCAGCCCCGTTCCTGTTATTCTCTGCGGACAGAACAGGGACAAAAGGGTTTTGCATTGAGATGCTGGTGTTTAATCTATGCCCTGTACTGGCTGAAACCATCTCAGAAGCTCCGAAACAGCGCAGACCCTGTAGCTTCTGTGTTAAAGGTAAACGATAGATCTTACTGTTCATGATGAATTTTAAGGTTAAGCTACTATTATTTTCCTTAGATTCATTTAAAAATATTTAAATAGCGGTAATACGTCTTTTGTCATAAGGCAGAGCAAGCTGAGATTTTTTTTTTTTTATTTTAATAACTTGGATAAAGCCAAAATGTCAAGTGGAGATGAAAAAGGCAGAAAATCTTGATTATTCGTCTTTTCACATAGATTTTTACCTAGTAAAAGACTCAAGTCCTATATATATCACGTTTCCTAAAGCAAGCAAGACACGAAATTCTGCCATCATGCAGAATCTGCTTAGCAAGACATTTTAAGCTTCAACAAAATCGACCAAGCCTTGACAACCCCTGTGGGACAGGACGTCCAAAGGCCACCGGTGATGCTGGGCTGGCATCCTCAAAGAGCTTAGCAGGGTCCTTGGGGGAGTAACAGGGGCTTCCTGCAAAGCTGGGTCCTTCGGGGTGTCAGGAAGGCCGCACTGTCTCTAAACTGTGATTAAAAAATTCCTTTTAGGGCCATTGATGCGTCCAAGGTTCATTTCTASATGGCAGAATGGTTCATGATAAGCAGCACGGGTAACCTTGTCTGCTGGACGGCCCAAATCTCAGCCGGGTGAGCAACCCTGGTGCCTGTTCCATCCTTGGCCTCCCCGCCAAGGAAAACACCTAAGGGCAGGGTACGGGAAGAGGGTTTTCATGACGTGGGTACAAACRGCCCCGTGYTCTGGGTGTCCTTGCTGGAACAGGRGTTGGACTGGATGATCTCTACAGGTCCCTTCCAACCTCAACCGTTCTGTGATTCCGTGGTGTGAATGTTGGCCATTTGGTTGCCCACCCAGACCACAGTGGTCAGGTGGCCACYGCTTCTCATCTCGAAAGGCTCCATTTGCCATCCTGAGCTCCCTGAATGACTCCTGCCYACTCTCGGACACAAAGGCCACTGAAGAACAGTGGGAATCCCGGGCTGTTATGCCAGCATCCATCAGCAATCCCGCATGGAGCATGGTGCTGAGCAAACTGCTTCATTCACACGACGTAGTGCGAGGGCGGCCACGCCRGGATCCCCCGGGATCCCCTCGAACGGCCCCTGTCGAGGGAGGCGCTGGGCTCGGAGTCCTGACAGCGACACCCCCGTGCAGACACCGTCCTGCCCGGCCCGGCACGTGCGGGCGCTCGGCTGCATCGGCCTCGCATTCCCGTGGACCCAGCGGCCCGGCCTCCTCCTCGTGGCTCTCCGGAGCACGTGCAGCGCCAGTGCCGCACGCAATCCAAAGGCTTCGGCGCCACTTGCAAGCTCTTGTTGAACAAAACACCCATTTATTTAATCACTACAACTACTACTACCAGTAATAAAGTTGAGGGGAGAAGCTGATTCGCGGCATTCGTTCGAGGGCAGGCTCACTCCTTCTGTCTTTCCTTCGGTCCTGCATCTGTCTGCCTGGGAAGGGGCCAAGCAGGCATTAAAATAAACACAGAATGGTTAAAATATCAGCTCCAAAACAGATGTTGAAATCTTACTGCATTTCCCAAAGCTGGTGTTTACTGCCTTGGCAACCTACGAACGCCGTTTTGCTTAGAGCACAATTTTAGTAATTTTTCTGCCTTGAATAACGCACAGGACTTTCAAAATCATTTCCAGACCTTGGTAGCTCRCTGCCTTGTTAGAGGAACGCGCCGTGCCGCTGTCTGCAGCACAGGGGATGAGGCGGAGGGTTGGGAAGCCGCCGCTTCGCTCGGGGAGCAGCCACACACGGCCGCGCTCGGCAGCACTAACCGGCTCCTCGCAGTTAGGAGACGTCCAACAAATCCCCCCTCTTTCATCCCGACGAGGCAGATCAGAGCGCAGCCGCTCACCCCGGGCTGGCTGCAGCCACCTGCCTGCGGGCGCCTGTGTCTCAGGCCCTGCATTTTTTTCCTGTTCTGCAGGACACCCAACGCGGCCGGTGCAAAACGTCCTTCACTGACGTCCCGAGCGATTTTTGCAGGATGCGGCACTAGCTAGGATTGCCTCAATGCAGCCCTGGAGCCTCTTCTTTC